ATTTCAAAATAGCAGTAAATTCGCAACTGATTCAATTATAATTTATTTTGATTTTTTGATTTATGTATATTTATAGCCTAACACAGGAAGTTGGTAGGTAAAATATTTGCTCTTTCTAAGGTCCATTTTGAGGTCCGTATATACGATTAATGGAAATACTCGAAGGGCAGATTCCACAGAAAAAACGAAAAGCAAAAGGGGAAAATTGTCATATGTTGGGACCGTCCGCGCGTGCAGACCGACCAATGCAGTCCGAAGGTTTGATCTCCGGCGATCTAGCACGGCTCACTTTCTTGAACCGCAGTTGGCGCGGCACGCCCCATCATAGCAGAGAGAGCGTTAGCGCTTGAATTCGGGCGCTCGATGAGATGCGCATCAAGAACGTGAATTGACAGGGCAAGGAAGGGGTCTCATATCTCATGTTTCGATCAGTTCTCATGGTTTTTCCTTCAATCACTGACCATTCTTGATTAATTCAAAGTGGGGTGCCTTTTCAGCGTAAACTCAGCCTTTAAGCGAGACACCCATCCTGCCATAAGTAGCGAATTCAGCTGGCAGTCTATTAACAGTGAAGCGTAAAAATCCTGCTAGCCATCCTTTTCTTTAAAAAAAATAACCCTCTTCAGTACAGCTCATTGTCTGATCTTCACAACCCTTCTATCTTTTCATTTCTAAGTTACAATACCGCTACTAATTTTTGTTCAATCGACGGTTTGCGACGGTCGGAAACCGTCGCAAACCGTCGGCTCGCCATAACTCTTTAAAAAATGGTTCGCTCGACCTGCAGTTTATACCATCTGATAGCTCTGCTCGAGATCTACAAGATGGTTAAATTCAATTTCTGAAAGAGCTCCATCTAGGATTGCGCCATGCACTCGACCTCCATCCCGAGAAGTAATGAATATACTTTGTATGTGATGCGCATATAAGTCCTCCTATGCAGCCTGATCATCCCACAGAAACATGGATCTCAACACCCTCAGAATACGCCACGTACCCAACCGGTCCACCATATGGTGAGATTGAATGAATGTTTTTTTCGAATTTCACGATCTTTAATTCGTTCTAGAGCGCTAATTGGCTAACCGTGCGCTGATCAACCCATTCTTCCACTCCAAATGAGAATCTTCGAACAGTTTCCAGCAGTAGTAGTAGACCTATTATGTGACATTCCCCACATTTAGAGGAGATGATTTGCGGAAACCTGAGAAGATAGCCAGGAATCTCTCCACAGACGTAGACTCCAGTTACTTCTCTGTAAGATTGATGTAGAATATTTGGTCACGGGGTAAGCGCTCCGTCCGTGGTGTGGCCCCAAACATCACTCTCCGTCATGCCCTAAAATGAAAATCAGAGTTTTTGCTCTTCCAGATGACTCTACAGAGCTGAGGGGTGCACCGTTCGATTTCCCATGAAAAATACTACCGAATGGTGTACAACTCAGGTTTCACACAAAACTTTGTTTTTCTCACTTTTTTGCTCCCCATTGCCGATCGTCCTCCCAGCCCTTGGCGCCACGTGCGATTTAGCGAGAAATTCTCTCCACCGACGTGGACTCCGGTCACTTGTCTGTAGGAAAGAGGTAGAATATTTGGTCACGGGTAAGCGCTCCGTCCGTGGTGTGGCCCCAAACATCACTCTCCGTCATGCCCTAAAATAAAAATCAGATTTTTTGCATTTCCAGATGAACTCGCAGACCTGAGATGTGCCCCATTGGATTCCCCGTGAAAAATGCTATCGAATGATATGCATTACTCCTCCCAGTTGAAACTTTGGTTTTCACCGTTTTCAGCCTTCCCCTATTGCCGATTGGCATCATTATTCCACTATACTATCCCAAAATCTCAAAGTTTCATTTTTCGTCGAAACTTTGCCTATTGGGGTAATTCGATGCCCTGATTACGAATATGACATTCATTCTCGTAGTGTGGCCCCAAACATCACACCTCGCCCCATTTTTTGCGACATGTTCCATGTTTAGAGCAGATGTTATGTAGAAAGCTGTGAAGGCAGCGACGAATTTCCTTTACTGACGTAGACTACGGTTACTTGTCTGTAGGAATTACATAGAAACCTTGGTGGCAGGTGAGTCTTCCTTCCGTAGTGCGACCCCAAACATCACACCTCGTCATGCCCTTGCGATATGATCAGATTTTTTTTGTTCTCCAGATGAACCCAGAACAACATAGAAGACTGAGATGTGCACCATTCAATTCCCCATAACAAATACTGTCGAACGGTATACAACTCACTTTTTGGAGAACATCTAGTTTACCTGCCACTAGATCCATTTTGTGACATTTCGCAATTTTCGAAGGGATGTTTTGAGGAAATTCGAGAAGGGAGGGACGAACTCTCTTCCCTATCGTAGAGTAAGTTTACTTGTATGTTGGAAAAAGATGATACACTCGGGCTTGAGCGAGTGTTTCTTCCCTGGTGTGGCCTCAAACATCGCTCTCCGTCATGCCCTGAAATAAAAACCAGATTTTTTGGTCTCCAGGTGGCTCTACGGAGCTGTGGTGTACACCATTCGATTCTCCATGCAAAATGCTATCGAACGATATACATCTCAGTTCCCACTTGAAACTTTCGTTTTTCACCGTTTTCGGCCTTTTCCTTATCGCCGATCGCCTTCCTCAGCCCTGGCCACCCACGTGCTATTCACGTGCGCGGAGCGTGAGAGCTCACGTGACAGCCGATGGCCTTTCTCGGTAGCTGGCGGGCAGCCCGATCGATACACCGCTATGCGTGTCGAAAGTGCGTGGGAAAGTCACCACGCACCGCGCACGTGAATAGCACGTGGGTGGCCAGGGCTGAGGAAGGCGAAGAAAAGGCCGAAAACGGTGAAAAACGAAAGTTTCAAGTGGGAACTGAGATGTATATCGTTCGATAGCATTTTGCATGGAGAATCGAATGGTGTACACCACAGCTCCGTAGAGCCACCTGGAAGACCAAAAAATCTGGTTTTTATTTCAGGGCATGACGGAGAGCGATGTTTGAGGCCACACCAGGGAAGAAACACTCGCTCAAGCCCGAGTGTATCATCTTTTTCCAACATACAAGTAAACTTACTCTACGATAGGGAAGAGAGTTCGTCCCTCCCTTCTCGAATTTCCTCAAAACATCCCTTCGAAAATTGCGAAATGTCACAAAATGGATCTAGTGGCAGGTAAACTAGATGTTCTCCAAAAAGTGAGTTGTATACCGTTCGACAGTTTTTATGGGGAATTGAATGGTGCACATCTCAGTCTTCTATGTTCATCTGGAGAACCAAAAAAATCTGATCATATCGCAAGGGCATGACGAGGTGTGATGTTTGGGGTCGCACTACGGAAGGAAGACTCACCTGCCACCAAGTTTCTATGTAATTCCTACAGACAAGTAACCGTAGTCTACGTCAGTAAAGGAAATTTGTCGCTGCCTTCACAGCTTTCTACATAACAGCTGCTCTAAACATGGAACAAAAAAAGTTGAAGTTGTCGCAAAAAATGGGGCGAGGTGTGATGTTTGGGGCCCCACTACGAGAATGAATGTCATATTCGTAATCAGGGCATCGAATTACCCCAATAGGCAAAGTTTCGACGAAAAATGAAACTTTGAGATTTTGGGATAGTAATAGTGGAATAATGATGCCCAATCGGCAATAGGGGAAGGCTGAAAACGGTGAAAAACCAAAGTTTCAACTGGGAGGAGTAATGTATATCATTCGATAGCATTTTTCACGGGGAATCCAATGGGGCACATCTCAGGTCTGCGAGTTCATCTGGAAATGCAAAAAATCTGATTTTATTTTAGGGCATGACGGAGAGTGATGTTTGGGGCCACACCACGGACGGAGCGCTTACCCGTGACCAAATATTCTACATCAATCTTACAGAGAAGTAACTGGAGTCTACGTCTGTGGAGAGATTCCTGGCTATCTTCTCAGGTTTCCGCAAATCATCTCCTCTAAATGTGGGGAATGTCACATAATAGGTCTACTACTACTGCTGGAAACTGTTCGAAGATTCTCATTTGGAGTGGAAGAATGGGTTGATCAGCGCACGGTTAGCCAATTAGCGCTCTAGAACGAATTAAAGATCGTGAAATTCGAAAAAAAACATTCATTCAATCTCACCATATGGTGGACCGGTTGGGTACGTGGCGTATTCTGAGGGTGTTGAGATCCATGTTTCTGTGGGATGATCAGGCTGCATAGGAGGACTTATATGCGCATCACATACAAAGTATATTCATTACTTCTCGGGATGGAGGTCGAGTGCATGGCGCAATCCTAGATGGAGCTCTTTCAGAAATTGAATTTAACCATCTTGTAGATCTCGAGCAGAGCTATCAGATGGTATAAACTGCAGGTCGAGCGAACCATTTTTTAAAGAGTTATGGCGAGCCGACGGTTTGCGACGGTTTCCGACCGTCGCAAACCGTCGATTGAACAAAAATTAGTAGCGGTATTGTAATTGTTTTTAATTTCGTATAACAGACCCAAAGCTAAAGATCATTTTCTTGTAAGCTAGTTCGGGCAGACGCATAGAAAATGTTATCGAGATTTAAAAAGGATTAATAATGTTACTAGTCAACATGTAAAATGGAGGATCTACCGCTTTTGTGTCCACCGGCTGAGAGGCGTGGGCGCACCGGGTACCTAACAGGAGGCCCGTCGCGAGGCAAGAGCGATAGAGTCACGACAGGTTTGCAAGTGCTGGCGTGCGGTGAAAGATGGTGGCACTGGTACATTCTATTCAATTTTGACGCAAAATCACCGGACAGTACGTCGCGGCAACTCTGCCGCCCATTTCTGCCTTCTTGCCCGTGTGCAACGAAGCTCCGTCGGAAAACCGCGATGCTGCTGATGAGGTGAAAGTGGCACTTTGAGCGCTTGTTTCTTTTCGGTTTCGATCCATGGAATACGCAACGCTCGGTCGACGAAGAAAATTCGGATATATTCGCGACGTTCTGTCAACACCGACAACTGGATCTGATTTCGTTGTTTTTTGTAGAGTATGAAACGTTCTGCACTTGTGGCCGCTTCTTCGATAGCTTCCCCAACTACATGTCCAGTCAACGCATCCACTGCCACTGCAACACAAGCAACGGATGCACGCCCATTCCAAGAAATCCCTGGGCCAAATCTCTTCGCAAGGCTTTTCGGGAAAAACCGATCCCTTTTCAGGAGTGAGTTTTTTGAGGGTCAGAATCGCTCAGAGTTGCTTTGAGCTGTGATGTTTGAAATATTCAGGCAAACGTTCGATAGCCAATTACTTTGAATGGCTTGTCGATTTGCATAAACGATATGGACCGCTTGTGAAAGGTTGAACAAGGATTTGGTCGAGGATCTGTGGTACACGTTTTTGATCCAGGTGCGACTATAGCAAGGCAAGGCGTTTTTTCGCTTTCCCGAGAGTTCAAATCTGAAAGTTTTCATGATTTCCGAAACCGCTCCATTTTACAGGATTGCATGGATTATACTCTGTGCTCGGTTTCTATAGTTAAGCATTCAATAAAATATCAATTTCACATTTTCGTTTCTCTGTTATTTTCCAAGTGAATAGCCATAGCAAGTATTATTTATTTCGATAAGAGCTTCGAGGCAGATGGCATGGCTAGTTTGAAGATAATTCACTCGGCGTTGGTCAATGTCTTCTTGGGATGCACCTTGCATTCTTTGTACTTCATATTCTCATTCTTACCTGAAAAAAAGGGAAGGAAAGCGCCACGGCTTGCGAATTCAAGAAGAAAATATTAAAGTATCTAGAAATCCACTTCACGTTGCGAAAATTTATTCCAATTTACAGAGGATGCTCGACAAGTGTTCGCGTCAGATGGTCGCCAAGCCCTTCATTGTACCGCTCCAAGAGACAACGCAACGCTATCGTCAGATGAAAGGAATGAACCCAGGGCTTGGAAACCTGTACCGATTTTTTCATAGTTTGTCTATTTTGGAGAAGGATTCGATGGTAAGGTCGGGGGTCGGAGGAAGGAAGTGGAAATAGTACAGCTAGTCAAAGGGATGGCGTGAACTTAAGGGTGAAGGACGATGCGCGTTCTGCAACGTAGAAAGAGAAGGTATACCCCCAGCGGCCTAGGGACATGGTCGTACCTGCGCCGCTAGCGCTGCTGCACACTCACACTCTCGCCGTCTGACTCTGGCCGTTTGGCGAAAAGCGTTGGTGTTAAAGAGGGCGGCTGCAATGAGAGTCGCATCAAGAGGCAAAGTGTGTTTCGTCTCGTGGGTTCTGGGCCTTTCTCATGGTTTTTCTTCACCCTGCACCACTAACCATCTCTAATTTGTTTTTTATGAGCTGCTTTTTTTTATCGTGAACTGCGCCTTAAGCAACTACGCGACCTACCTTACAATTAGACATGCACACATACAGAACAATGCAAACCCACACACCTAATTTAACGGTTTCAATATGCCAGGAGACGGGATTGTCTTGCCAGTAGAGGCCTGAAGTCTTTGTAGACCGATTGATAAGGTGTTAGCCCATTCAGCTGTCATATACAATAATTATGAATCCTTTGAGTTGTCTTTTGACATTCTTCATTTTTTGAATAAAGGCACCTTGATCTTTTCTATGAATTCCTAGAAAATGGCGATGAGTGTACAGACTTCGTTTCCATGACAGTTCACAGGTTGAACATGATGCTGACCGACATGGCCGGTTCACCAGAGAGTGAGTCACCATCAGAATACAATTAATTAATAAATATATAAATAATAAATTAAAAATAATAACTAATCATGTTCTAAAGAAATAGTTTCGATTGGTTTCGACTTTGTTTCTTCATCCGGATATACCTACCTAATACCAATGAGGCAAAACGCGCTTGGTGACATTTCATGACGAAAAAGCGGAAGCGCGAAAAGCGCAAATGGTGAGGTGGACGTGCGGAAAATCGCGGGAAGGTATTATTGATCAAATTTTCTGATCAGCGAAATAATCAATAGTTACTGAAATTTACCAATTTTCTCTAGATGGCACTCGAGTCGTTCGGCTTTTGACGGTATTTTGGATAAGGCGAATTGTTAGCGCTAGCCGAATCTGAATTGAAAGGCAGCTGAATTGGTCAAACTTGAACAAATCGATCCACTTGTCGATTGGTCTGCAGTGTGAGAACAGAGAAGCATAGTGAATATCATCACCTGGACTCTTCAACCAACGTAATTTTTGACCATTTGTAGGCTGAAATTCGCCTTTCCCCTCTATCAGTACTTTTCCACCCCAAAATGGAAGAAAATGGTGGAATTGGAGGACAATTCTATAGGTACATACCTTTTCCTATTTCCTACTGGAAGTCTTTTAATACCAGATATCGATTTTAAGAGAAGCTGATTTATTGATTGATGAAGCGATCGATAAGCTGCATGGGTCAACTCAATCAGAGGACGAAATGAAGTTTGCCAGCCTGCTGCTTAATCGTAAAGAGCTCAATGTGAAAGATGTGAAGATCATTTTGTGTCCGATGTTCTCATGATGACTGAGTTCCGGTAACTTCCACAAGAAGGAATGCGAACGAGCAGGGTCAAGCGAGGCGTCGAGGAAAATTCGGAAATACGACCCCCCCCCCTCCCTCTGCCGAAGGCCGAAGTCCATGAAACAACCCTCTTTAAAAGCCGAACTATGAAAAAGTTGTTTAATTCTCCACCAAAACTGCTCATAAAAAAGCCCTGCTACCCCATCGTCCACAAAAAAAACTCGTTTAAAAAGTATAAAAGTGAAAAAGTCAAAGAATGATCATTAATGACGAGTCCTGTCAAACGAGCAAACGAGAAACGGAGCAAAAAACGTCAAACTAGTCACTAGAAATGGCGTACTATGACAACACCTCTTCTTTGTTTATTTCCTCCACAAGACTTACCAAATTCTAGTACTACACAGATTATGGTTCTCAATTTACACGTCCCCCTTTCGCTCAAAGGAAGCCTTGTAAAAGCCTTCGCCAGCTGTGTGTTGACTGGACTTTGGCGTTGACCGTGGAGCAGCTTATTTACTATTGAAATTTGAACAAATATTCAAATGATTATAACTTTCTTCAAAGTTAACGAATTTTCAATCTGAAAGCTGATTTGGGAGTTTTGTGAAGAGCTTTTTCTAATCAGTACTGAAATTACAGGAAGTTATAAGAAATAACAAATTTAGATCAAATAACGAGGAAAATTCGAGACGAGCACGAGTTTTTACACTTTCCGGAGCAATAACTTGCTTCATTTCCGTCAAATTCAAAAAGTTGATACGTCATACAAAACTAGAAGATTTTCTCTATCAAACGGTCGCTAAAGCAGCTTCATACGTCCAGTACTCAAAAAATGGCCACGTTGAGGATTTTTGCCCGAGTACCGCCGAAAGGTACTTTTTCGCTACATTAGCACTATCCCAACGACTATAGCTCCTTGCAGGAGCGATTACATACTGAAGTAGGAGCAGATTCAAAATCCTCGTGCTTTTCTCTCTGCAAAAAGTGTAAAATTGTTTAGCGGGTCTCAACTTTAAAGGTTACATGCTTGTGAATTTGACGCTGAAGGCTGCGTTTCTTGTTGAATAGTGTACTCCTCTCTGTAATTTAACATGAACTCTTTCAGACCCTCTTGATTCTTCCTGAATTAAGATTCGTTATCAAGATAGCCGTAGCTGAAGCGCGCGCAACCAACTGGGCCCACTCTGGGATGCGCCGTGTGCTTCACATCTCGTTGGATTTGAGGACCTACTTGAAAGATAAAATATCCCTAGAAAACGTGCGAATTTCGGATCCTTTGACTTGTGTGGTGATGAAACACTAAAGTCACTAAGAATTGCTAAGCGGACACCTCTAAATCACGAAGATTTTGTGTGGACGGAATCAATTGTTATTGGAAATACTCTGGCCTGGTATCGATTCGATCCTTAATGTTTGTCCTCCGACGATGATCCTACTGTATCAATCGGCCCGATCTCTCCCCAGCGGGCCAATACGACCCCCCCCCCTCTGTGACATGTCGAGGATTCCTCAACGCACGCTTGACCCCCGCACCTACTGGTGAAACGCGCTGGCTCATATTCCTTGTTTAAAAAATTATCGGGACAAAAAAAAAGCTCTTCGCTCATATCGTATTACCGTAAGGAGCTCAGAATAAGAGGTAATCTGGTGCTGCATCTTCAAGATTGGTGTGTAGAATGTCACGTCAAGAAGCTGCAGCTATCGCTATACGTCCGCGCGCTTCTTTGGGTCAAATTTAGCACGAATTATATTCAACCGTGACGCGAAAAGCTCCGCCACAGAGGAACGGAGCCCCCTGCTGATCCGTATAGCCCCGCCCATTGCTTCACAATCCCACCTATATCAACAAAAACACACAAATAGATCAGCTGCACATACGTACACTCACCAACAGGCTCATGCAGGCACAATATATTGTCACATCACGAGTGAGCGTACAAAAAAGCTCGCTCAACACAGTAACCTACGTTAACCGGTCTCAAACATGCCCACTATCAACCCCGCCACAATTGAAGATTCTGCACAAATGTCTTGTTACCCTTTTTATGAAGGTTCTCACATAGCATTAAAAAACTCATATGGATAAGATGCCCAGAAAGGAAAATATTATCTTCCATCCTTATTGTGGAGTACAATGAAGCTTGAACATGTATCGTCTCGATCTGAGTAAATAGACGAAAACAGTTTGAATATATAAGCACAACAGTGCACCTTTCCCTACCATAAAATGCCATTTATTCAGTACTTGATTCTAGACCGCTCCTATGCTCGTCTACAATCTGTTTAATATCGCCACGCATCCAGATATTCAATCAAAGCTTCGCGACGAAGTGAACACCGCTGTTGGGCGAGACAAAGGTAAGGCAAAAAACACCACGAACTTCTTGTTCCATAGAAAAAAGCGAAATGAGAGGTATTCCCTTAAGTTCTAAATTTCATTCGATTTTGTTTCCAGTCTATCATAGCCGGAAGACTAGAAACTGCGATCTATGAACAGGTTGAAACTCGAGGAAAGGCTTAGGGCAGAACTAGGCAGCTTACGGTAGAGGATGATAACAGAATAGCTGTGAACTATGTTAGAACCCATAGCAGCAGGGTGATGGCCTCAGCGTCATCGTCCCGCCCGATACCGTCCGCAGCAAAGGAAAAAAATTTGGGGACACTCTGTGAATTTTTTCACGGACGCTGGTACCAAGGGTAAGGTAGGATAAGGCTGCCGGTGAACTTCTCATTGGATCCCGTTGATTGATCCATATCTCGACTGAAAATTCACACAGTTCTTGTCAGCTGTAGCTTGCTCCTATAAACCATATCAGCAAGCCGATATCTCAGGGTCAACAATACCTAAGCCAAAGTTCAACGAAAAATGTTATATTTGTGATTTGCGAAAGCAATTTTATCAAACCAAAGAAAGGTTGCAGTGATTGGCCAAGGGAGATCCTATTGTCAAGGGGAAAGAGCTGGTCCCGATATCAACTCCGTAGGTAAAGGCAAGATTTGGGATGAAATAGGTGTGGAAAAGCGTTTAGTTATAAAACTATAGGCGGGAGGTGATCTGGAAACGAGAAGAAAGGCAAACGGAACCACCGATTACGCCCCGCTCAGAGACCTCCCCCATTTCAGCCGCATACCACCTTGGGCTAGAGAAGAAGCGTCTTGGACGAGTTTCACTATCCTAATCCAGTTGCTTCAATGCCAACGGCATTGGATCGCAAGGACCCCTGTGCACCCGCGCTTTCCAAGCAGCGCCACGTGACAGCCGACAGCGGAGGTGGAGATTGCGAACGAAAACGTATGAATGTTGTCAGGTCGTACGACGAGCTCCTTGCGCTTCTAAGGCTGCAAAAAGGGCACGACATCAAGTCATTGCGCGCCCTGCTGCTACCCCCGGGTTGAACAGGTGTCCCTGGAGCGTGCCTTTATGCGTTGTTGTCTTTCTCTGTAGCGCGAGCTGGTGAAGTAACTCATGCCACGGTCAATTGAAATCCTTCAGTCCGGTCCATGGTTCGCTGTAAAGGCAAAAACCCTGATACAGCTAAGTTATCCCGAACATAGTATCTGGGCATATGCCATATCGATCTGGAATAATCGTGCTATTTCTGAGTGAATTAAAATGCATGCCCGCAATCACCACTAAAGGATGGATCAATACCTGGAACCTTGTTTTTTATTATTTTATCCGTACACATCGTATCATCTGCTGATGTACTGCACTGAAAAAGGCTATTGGAAAATATTAAAGACAATGGGATATGTTAAGTACACACCCTTTCCATCATTTATAATATTTTTCCATGGTTTTTTCTCTATATGTAATGAGTTTGGTTAGTGATTGACCGCTGTTTGTTTAGAGATCAGTCCCCGCCGTGCTCTCTCGGTTACCATTCCTTCGTGCATGTATCAAGGAAACTTTTCGAATGTTTCCGATTGGCACGGAAATTTCACGGATTCCACAAAAGGATCTCGTCCTCAGCGGCTATCATGTTCCAGCTGGAACGCCAGTCGATATCAACACAAATGTACTGATGAGGTAAACATGTGCCTATTGTTTGGTATTGATTAATCAACATATTGCACACAACACACACACACACGCTGTCGAAGCATGGTGGAGGTACTGGTAACTCCGAGAAACCTTCAAAGTTATTACGGATTTAGGGGTATCGATTTTTAGCTGCTGACTAAAAGAGACCTGAGAACCAAAAAATAATAATCTAAACTATATATATTAATATAAATTTCAATTAGCAGATCTCACAGTGCAACAGTTAGAAAAGCTTGGCCTACGGATAGTGGGGGAGGGTCAGAAGGAAGAGCCACAACAAAACCAGGTCATGAGTAGATCTGTGCTTCAGTTACAGTGATGGGTGTTGCATTTTGGAGCCACTTAATCGCGCGTACGGGTTCGGATACTGATCCTAGCTCATGAATGGGTCCGGTAGATAAAAACACAAAATAAAATAAACATGGGCGGAGGTGGTGCAGAGGCAAGTTCCACAACGCGCAGGGTCATGCTTTCAGACGCGGATCGAATCTCGCTTATGCCAACCGACAACCTGTACATAGGCTCGCCACACACAAATTTCAAGTCTTGTACAAGCCACATCGAAATATCGATCATTCGATTATTGTGTGAAGTTCGCATGCATGGCGCATCCCACAAAGGCAGGACTGATAAATGCTGAATTCATATGTTTCATGATTCATCTTTTGTCCTTTGCGTCATCTTTTTATCCAGATCACCGGCATTGTTCCCTGATCCACTTACATTCCAACCAAACCGATGGCTTCGTGACGGGTCTCACGTCAGCAGACTCCCACCCATTTGCTTCCTCCGTTCGTTTTCGGGTCCTCGTATTTGTGCAAGTTGTTTCAAATCAATTTTTATCTCTGACGATGGAATTTTCAACAAACTTTGTAGGTTGGATCTCCTCTTCTCTATCACATTCAGGTCCTATTTTAGGGCGACGATTTGCTGAACAAGATCTACAGGTTGTGCTGTGCCGATTACTACAACACTATCGAATCGAACCAAGTGCGCATGGGTAGTTCGAACAGATTTACGAAACACTCCTTGCCTAAAGGCTGTTGTGATTTTCGATTTGAGCCCTTGTAGACTTTTGTCTGCTTTCTTCCTCCTCGAAAAGTTCTTTCTCTTCCTACCCTCCTTTTCAATTTGCAATAAATATTTATGCAGGGGGAGCTTTTGAAATACTGCATTTTTTCACGGAAACCCACCTGCGTACAACGACAGAGGAACAGCCTAGCAAAAAGCAAAATCGCGACATGAAGCTAGAAAAACCCGGAAGGACTGGTAACGACGTTGAATCCCCCGTCGAACATCTTCACACATCGCCTGTTGCGGGAAGCGGCTTCCACTTCCAACGTTCAATTGAAGCTTTTTTGACACTTCCGACTTATTGGTCTACCTCTCACACTTCTAACTGCATCCATTCCCATCCGATTGTTTTGTCTTCCCCCCTCCTCCGAAAATTGAACGCTTTTGAATAGAATTCTTCCACATGCTCGCATGATAAGTAGCTGCCCCGAGGTGGACTTGCTTCCATGCCCCGTCATTGACGCCACACGACCTACCTTCGGCTATCCGTAGAATGTGGTTTTCATGAGTTTGTTTCTGTTCGGGAACCGAATTCTTGGTGCGTGGGACTTTGTATGTTGTCTCTACGTTGATCGCATCTGACATATGCGTGTTGGGAAAGAATGTGAGTTTTTTTTGTGAAGATTCCTTAAAGGAAGCGATTACGATAAGGAATTTTCGCATCGGGGGAGAACCTGCGCCACACGGAGCAATTACTTGGCTGCCAAGGAAGCAATGTGTGGCGCTTCCACGGCGAAAGGTGCTGTGGTTGCTGAGCAGGACCTGGGAAAGAGGGTTTTGTTAACGGCCTTGTCGACGGTTTTTCTCAGTTTTTTCTCCACTGTCGTTCCACTTCGCATCTCTATACTCAGTTTCAATCGCCATAATACCCCCTTATTGAGCCCGACTTTTGCCTTTAAGGAAAACTAGATGTTCTTTCACGAGGTAATTTCCTTATTATCTTATTTCAGCTCATTGTTAGGCCGGCGCTTTCCCAGAAGGGGTAGAGGTACACCTAATCTAGATCCACGAATTACAACTGGAGATGGCGAGGATAACGATTGGGATGGAATGGATACGATTGGGCTATGTGCAAAGAGGTCTGAATGGATCCAAGTTCCTGTGCAAACAATATTTTCTCATAAAAAATGCTTTGCTGTGTTGCAAAATACCCTCGGTTGTGTGCCCATAATGGCACGGCCCACCTCTCATCCTTGCAGAAGCGCCGATTCATCCTATGGCATACCACGATACCTTAAAAACGCGCTTTCTGTCTGCTACATGGGGAAATGGAATTCAAAATCATTTCCTGTCCACATTCCCGGCAAGGAAAAGCGACTCATAGGAAAAACCTGAAGCTCCACTACTTTTTTCGTACTTTTTTCTTTTCAAAAAGCTCCAATAATTGTAAGCAAAGAAGATAAGAAGAGCACGTGAAACATTCTAGATCGAACTCAGAAGCAAATTTCATGTGTTTGGGATTATTCATGGTTTAAACCACCCAAATGATTTCTCAGACGCACTTCTCCAAATCGGATTTGATTATTATCGCGCTTTCAAAATCAATGTTCATAGTACACCTTCATAAGTGGTGTAGCTTTTGGTACAGATTAAACACTTGGATGACGTGAGCTTGGGAAGTAATTCACCTCCAGTCAGGGTCGTACCACCCTATTATTACTCTCTATTTGATTTCTACTTTGTTGTTCAAGAGTACAAAGAGTACAAGTTGCCCTATCTCAAACAGACGTTCCCTTACAGGACTTGTGCCAGATTCTCGGACGGGTCGAGATGATACGACACCCCTTATCTGATCAAATAGCGAAGTGCGCGTAAAATGTTAAAATGGCCGCATCACGCCATTCCCATCGGCAAACAGTAAAGATCGCCCTTACTTCGATGTGCTGATTAAATAGTATAGTTGGAAAGAAAATTCTGAAACACTCAATTCGCGCTCTTTCTGGATTTCTCCCGAATGCTCTGGAATCTTCCATGGGTGGTATATAGTAGGAGTGGACCGTGCTACGTACGGTGATCAAATCAGCTTTCCCAATAATGGCGTTTGCATGGCACTAAATCAACTTTTCCCGCCAGACACTCCGAGCGCTCATTCTGTAAGAGCTCCGCCTAGAGAGATCTGCCCACCAGAGGTGGTCAGGATCAGTCCCGGGATAGGCCTGGGCACGTTCTCTCACATGGCGGTTTCGGCTTGGTTTAAACGCTCCGCAGCGAAGACTTTGATCTTTCTGACGCAACACACGACTACTGCCCATTTTGACGTTTGACGGTATTTCCCACGGGTGATGATCTGTCTGGAGGATTGACGAGTACAAGGGCTTCACAATGCTAGCTGCTCGAAAAGATTGCAGAAGAGCTTCGCCGAATATAGCGACAAGTCAACCTGCTTCACGACAACGCGCAACGTCGCGGGTGTTCGGTCTCAAGCCACAAGACTCTGAAGCCAGGCAGGACCGCGGCTGCCCGTCTGCCATATTCGTCAAACCTATCTATACACCTCTTCAACCTTTCCTGCTCGCTTGCTCATTACCTGGAGAACAGGAAGCTCGACGACGTAAACGAGCGCAAATCCGACACCAGAAGGTTGTTTGGCAAAAATCTTCCTAATTTCTAATTTCTGCGGTGTCACCCAAATGCCCGAAGGTTGGCGTAGTGTTGTTGTATCTAATGGTCAATATGTTATGGATCATTGAATAAATAAAGAATAAAAAAAATAAATTCAAAAATTGAGCTACAAGTGTTAAGGAACTTTCCTTCCAACCTAATATAAAAAAAACAGCAACACACTTAGCAGAGTAGGATTAAACGAAGTTATAGTTTTCGCAGCAGTCCACCTTGATGCCGCACCAACTTACTTCTTCAAATTCAACAAATACGAAGCATTTGTATGAGAGTTGCAAGTTTTGAAGATTTCACAGCCCTATACGAAGTGATACCAGGCAGGGTCAACCCTATGTTGCTACAAGTAGCAACGGGGGGTCGTATTTTGATGAGTTTGTAGGGGGGTCGTACTTGCTTCGGTTGTAAGAAGTTGCATGTGATGAGTGGGGAGCGGCGCGGGAGAAAATTTGCCGTTTCAGCGCGCGTATATACCCCCCTAGAAAATGGAGCAGTTGAAATATGGGTAAAATATAGGGAAATTGTAGGGAATTTTTGCGGTTTTAAGGGAAGTATATACCCCCCCCCGCTCGACGGTAATTTTTTGGGGTAAAAATTGGTCGGATTGGTCGGAAGGGGGGGGGGTCGTAAAAACTTTTCGAAAAGTAGCAACGATAGGACTGACCCTGGAACCAGGGTTCCTGTACTTCGAAAATCTTGCACCAGATACTCGAACTCGGATGCATTTGGTGGTTTGATTTACCCGTACGCGATTCGAGCCGGGTTCCAAGCCCGCACCAGTCTAGGACATTTACATTCCTCACTCTTGCGCATACACCATCCTGCGGGGGGGGGGGGCTATATCACGCAGTGCGAAAGCGCAAAAGCTTTGTGGTTCTAAATTCTCTATTCACAGAACCATGACACTGATGTTTATTTTGATGCCTTTCTTGTGCGAACGAGTCTAGAGGGAAAGCTGAAAGCAGTAAACATTTTGAAAGGATCGTGTTTCCCAGAGGCCAAAACATAACAGCGAAGGAGCGGAACAGCATCGCATCATGACAGTTGTATTTCTTCTATGTCAGCAAATATTGTTTTATGTTGTGTTGTGTTTATAACCGATAATAATAAATAATAATAAAATATATTTTCTCCGGTTTGTCAACCCTCAGCAAACGCTTGACTCAAGACTGTTTCGCCTTCCATCCTCTGATGAAAAAGAGCCAGAAAACGGGAGCGGAGTCAATCAACCGTTGGAATCAACGGGGAGAGGGCACCCAATTTGATTTCCTAGTAAGAAGTAATAGTTTAGGTCTTTGCGTACAGGGAATGCGGTAAGGGAGTTGCGCTTGAGATTCACAGAGGGGGCCTTCACGAGCCCACAAACGGGACGAAGTTGAGGCTTTTCTGCATTTCTTTTTTCTCGTATATCAAGCCCCGCCCCATCCCCTCGATGGCAGTCCTCGAGAAAATTTTGGAGTCAGGTGGAATGGAGGTTGGGTTGTGACACCTTGTCTCGGAACAAATGCTATAGAAACGAGCATGGAGGTAAAGTTGGTAAGGGGGGGTCGTAAGGATAAGGACCCCTTCAAGAATGGTGGTAAGGGTCACGTCGAGATCACACGGAGGAGTCGCGCTGAGGTCCCAAAGGGGTCCCAAAAATTTGAACCGGCACAGGCGAATCACGTTCTTTCCCCAAACAAAAAGTGCACTGAGCGTGTTCTTAGTGCAGAAGTAAAACGACCGGAGCGGGATGTTTTCAAATTGGTCTCTGCTCACACTTTTCACGACCCTTTCCCGCAGTCCGCCCCCTGCCGCCGACGTGTTTGCCAATCTGCCTTCATCATCGCTTTTTTCTGTTCAGACATCTTCTGTCATCATTACAACGCTCCGAGAATCAAGGGTTCGCTTTCGTTCGAAGTTGAATTTGAGATGAAGAAAATGTTCAAATTTCATGAAGTTCAGATCGAAGGTTTTTGAGAGTCATACAGTTTCAAAAACTTCACTGTTACACTCATTCTCGGTTCTCGAACAGCTTTTACACGACATTTGATTCATAATTTGCTCGTCATCCGTGGCATGCGTTCCTTACCAAATCCTTTGAAGGGGCGCCTACTTCTGTTCTCCGATTCTGTCACGAGACACTTGGGCCTAGTGGTCCTCCTTGTGCTAGGGACATGAATCACCGCCGCCCATTCGTGCAAAAATATTCATAGAGAGGTCTGTCCGACCAGAAGTAATCTGCTGGTGCTCTTCAAGTTCCAGGGAGTCCGGTAGCTACCGCTCTCAAACAGCGGTCATCCCAAATCACATGACGACCTGCTCGCTGTTCTTTGGTTCCTTTTCGAATACGGCAGCGTCGCTGATCTTTGATCACTAGGAACTTCGGAATCCGTACTGCA